TTTTGAAATTTGGTTACAATCATTACTGAGAAGAGGATAATTATTTTGCTATGAGGACCAAACATGGCGCGTGTCAGTGGGAAACGTCGTTGTGAGGCATTCAAGTGGTCACATACATCATACGTAGGTAGATCCAATGGTTGAGGTTTATTAGAGGTGATGTTTGAAAGGGTTAAAAAAACCCTATATTTACATCCATTAATATGAACCGTTGAATGGGTTTAGATTAAACAATTTTGATGATGCGACACGAAGTTGAATAAGGGTTACTAAGAAAACCCTAATCTTGATATATCTAGGACATTAGATCTAGAACTGATCCAACGGCTGTCTATTGGTTGTGTGTGTCTACATTTGGGGTTATAAAAAACATGAATCCACTCTTGATCTGGACTATTGGATTGGTTCAGATCCAATGGATCTGGTGAGGCGACGATCGGTAAAGGTTACAAAACCCTAATTGATCCTATTTGTATTTAATCTTGCCCTCTAATGTTCTTCAAGTTAGACGGATGATATTTGACGGCGCTTAGAGGAGAGTGAGAACCCTAGTTGTTGTCTGGGTTATTCACATGAGTTTTTACAAATTGGGCTTCTACTTTGGGTTGTTTTCCTTGTACAAATCTTTAAACTATATTAGACCTACTTTTCGTAATTAAACTTGCATAGGATAAAATATGTTAGTAGATCTGAGTTGCCACGGCAGACTAAGGCCGTGGGAGAGGGTGCAGAGTATGAGGAGGATTTTTTTGGGTGAGTCAGGCACCCCAAGCAGGGGTACTCATGTATAGATCTACCTCTATTAGTGGTAGAGAGAGCCAAAGGTTCGCGTGAGCAGAGAAGAGTGACATCAGCCTTGTCACTCCAGTTCACTCAGAGGTCAGATGTAGGGTCTCGTAGGAGGCCTCCAACTTCACTGTCTATGACGAGCTCTAGAAGCTCTGAAAGGCTTGTGAGATATCCAGAATGCAAGCATTGCAGAAAGAATCATTGAGGAAAGTGCTTTAAGCTCTCAAGGAAGTGTTATAGATATAGGTCTTTATTGCATATGGTGAGGGATTGTCCTGTTTCAGGCTGCGATACCTCAGCTTGACCTGGGAAAGTGGGTTGAACAATTTAGCTTATTAGAGAGCTTGCAGAGAGTGGTGTTAGTTTTACGCTCATAAGGTAGAGTAGAGAAGCAGATCGACCAATTCTCGATTCAACTTTACGCTAATCAACTTGCCATATCATATAGACGTCGGGTTAGGGTGTGATATCGCAGACAAGATACCAGGTATGTTTTCAGTTATCTCATTTTTTCATGTTTCTGTAGTAGACATAAGTGCATGCATTATTTTGTGATGTCAAGTGATCTAGGTAGGAAGCATGTTCGTATTGAGAATCAAAGAGTGAGGATCTAAGTGTTAACTTCAATTTTTTGGGTTGCAAATTTAGAGATGTTTGAGGATCTTATCAGAACAAATAGTTGTTTCTTGTTGAGTTTGAGGTAAACTCTAAGAAATATATAGCATATTAAGTTGTTTGATTTCAACAAGCATTAGAGAATTATAGAATTGTGTAGTAAGTTAACTTGTTCCAGTAAGGTTAGCCAGTGTTGGATTTTGCGATAGCAGTTGAGTTGTGAAGTAACATTTTCCTTGTGAAACGTTTTAAGTATTCAATTTCAGGATGATCAGAGTAAGTCGTATCTCAATCCAAGTCAATTTCGAGGACGAAATTTCATTTAAGGAGGTAAGTGGACCTCGTGGGAGTAATAAATTAAGTTGTTGGGCTTAATTGGGTTGGACTTGGGCCCAATTAGTCATAAAAAAGAGAGTTTTGAATAATAGAAAATATGGAGTAACCAAGAGTATAATTCTACCTTTTATTAAAGATGAGAGCTATTATAACTCTCTCATCATTTTCTTTCCCTCATTCCTCTTTATTCCCATTTCTTCATTTTCCTCCCAAATCCAATAACTCAAGGGTGAGTTCTTAAAACTCTTGCATACTTCATTTTCGTACATAATCACTCTAGCAACTTGTTTTTAATGATTCAAGTCTTGGGCATTTCCTAGAACAAAGAAAAGTGGAGGTTTTCATCAAAATCACAAAGGAGAGGAGTGTGGCTAGTCAAGGAGTTTCATTTTGGGATCCTAGCATCAATGTAGTCTATTTCTAATCCTTTGGAGTGTTAAGCTTTCATAAATATGAGAAAATTCTAAGATTTGTGTACTTGAGCATTTTAGGGTTCAAACTTTATTCATGTCATAGATGATGTTTCAAATGTAAATAAAGTGTTTCTATGAAACTCTAAGACCCTAATTAACTCCCAAAAGCTTTAGTGCATAATTTAGAACCAAATTATGGCCTTTAGAGTAATTTTTGGTGTTTTTCTGAGCCTAAATAAATTATTTCTTGGTTTGAGTATCGATACTAGGATGAATAATATCTATAATGTATGAATTAGGGATAAATTAGGGATTTCAACTGGGAGTATCGATACTGTTGGGTAGAGTGTCGATATTACCCATACATTATCGATATTGAGCCTTATTTTCAGGAACAGAATGCATTTTTGGTACCGACACTCATAGAGGTATCGATACTTGACCCTAGGGTATCGATACTGCAAGTAGAGTGTCAATACTAACCTCATTGGATGATCATATTCGACCTGGTAAAGGTCCGAAGGAGCTAGGGATGGTCTGTAATGGTAGAACTCAGTCTATGGGGGACGTAAATGGCCAAAGGGCCCATAAACACTTGTGGAAGTGAGTTACAACCAAAGTAATCATAGTAGGCATAAAATGCCCAAGAAGTCTCAGTTGAGCAGGTAGTGAGTATCTATGGATGAAAGACCATTGCATAGGGTGTACCGACAAGAGATATGACCAAATAATTAGATTATGAAACAGTAGAGTCGTGTATCGTAAGAATGACAAAGAGTGATTGACGTACAATTGTTCCTCATATCAGAGAGTGAATTGAGGGAAATGTAGTAAGAGTGATTAGGGAATCATTAACCAGAAATGAACCCGATCAGACATCGGACTAGCCGGTATTATCGACAATGAACAATAAACAAAGAAATTGTCGTAAAACAAAGTAACACATAAAGACTTCCCTAGAGAAAGAGAACGCCAAAAATAACCTTTATTAACGAATTATCTGAATAGAGCAACTTATTAAAATATCAGAAACATCATGCTGATAAACCTTCGCATAACGTTCTAGACGAGAGAACAAGAGAATTAGCAGCTAGTGAGAGGATGACCTCTCCATAGTGTGCCTAGCTATGCTAGAGTGTAGTCATACTTAGTTTCTCTAGAGGGGCTATGTTAGTGTGCGAGGCACCTCAGTGGTTAACTAGGGTGCGAGGCCCGAACAATCACGATGAGTGGGTTAGCGATGTTAGTGTTGTGTGGCATTTGGGCCTTAGATATGCATGTATAGTTGCATTAGCCCAATATAACAGAATCCTTAAAGCTTCTCTTGAAGGCTAAGTGAGACCACGCCAATGCTTCAGTTGAGAAGGAATTATATCGATGCTATGTGACACCGGGTTCCCCTCAATGATCTACCTAATGACTATGTGTAGACCAGGAGATCATTCAGTAGCTTTGTGGGAATTATATCGATGCTTGGTGATACTAGGTTCCCTCAGTTAACTAGTATCTAATGGCAATGTGAGACCAAATATTAGTCAGTACAACATTCAGATAATGCACAACAAAGTAAATTTTCCATTCAGATAATGCAGATGAGTGTCAGTGTCTCATTTAGATAATGCGTGGCAGTATAGTACTTAAGGTTATAAACCCTTAGCGGTGTACTCATGGTGAGACCCTTAACAGAGGATTAAGGGAAAGTGAGACCCCTACTTTAGTGATAGAACAGTTAAACCCTAAGTATGTAGCACTTGATCTAGATCATGCATGTACCTACTGTTTAATGAAATGTCTTTAGCATGCTTATGTTTATGGAACTCATAATGCTTCTCTATATTAGTGATTATACTGTTGGGGGTTGTAAGCTTAGCCTTCGGATGTTTTTCGTTGGTAGGTCAGTAACTGAGCAGTTTGTGGAGCACCGTCACAGTAGGACTTCCAACATCTCCTTCAAAGTACTGTAGTGTAGCTTAGTGGGCATATGCATTCATAGGTACTTACTTATGTATTTAGCTTTATGAGGCAAAGTTTGTATTATTTTGATTTAAACTGTGTCATTGAGCTCCACTTTATAAAATATTTTATAGCTATTATTTACATTTTATAACTATTATTTATGTTTATCATTGATACCATTTAGTATATTTGAAAAGAAAATAAACAGGTTTTAAAAATCAGGGGTTGTCTCGGTATCCCAATGTGGCACCTTAGGTCCATTTGGGCTTAGGGTGTTACATATATATACAAGGCAGTTCATTCCTTTTGATTTGGACGAAGAGTCGTGATCAATAATTTTGTGTGGATGTAGGAGAAGGCAAGCAGTAAATATTCATCAAGTGAGAAATGTAGAGGGCAGCCCGAGTGAGAAAAAAAGTCCAGTTCATCATCTTTTCATGGTTTCTCATAATGCTTGTGTTAGACTTAAGGTGATGATGGTTATATGTAGGTTGACAAGATGAATAGAACTGACTGTTAGATAGCAAAAGTTTTAATAGATCATGTGGGTATACCAATGATTAGTAAGGAGCTGTTAACTACTCGAAGGCCATAGAATCCAGAGACTTCAAGGAACTCTAGAATATATGGATTTCCGAAGGATTATAGCTTCGTACGAAGTGGAGTCTTGGAAGTTTCAATGAATTTCGAAAATTTCAATGCTCAACAGATAGAGGAATGACAACATGATGAAATTCTGGAGAGATCTGAATGAAGCATAACAATTGATTATTTTATTTGCAGGTTTATATGGAATATAGTGAATAACAAAGCTATAATTTAGCTTAATCATAGACTCATCATTAACAATTTCACATATTGTTTTATTTTAAATTTGGTACCTGTGATCATCTAGAAAGATGAATGAGGTATAGCTAAAGCATGAAGATGAGTTTTCTTGCAAACTGTGAGGCCGTAGAGTTTAGTCATGTCCACATTCTCAAAAATTTCACCCGCTGGTAATTTCCAATCAACCCAATAAAGAAGGCTGGCCATCACATATTCAACAGACGCAACTCCGAACGACATCCCGGGACATCCCCTTCTTCCAAAATCGAATGGGATGTAGTGGAAATCTTGACCTTGAAAATCAATTGAGCTATTCTCAAACCTCTCTGGAGAACTCTTCTCGGTTTTCCCACCATTTGGGATCTCTATGAATGGCCCAAGCATTGATCAAGACCGTGGTATCCGAAGGAACGTCGAAACCTTCCAGTTTAATACTTGCTGATGTTTTTCTAGGAACAAAAACAACAGGAGGATGTAGTCTCAAAGTTTCTTTGACTACACACTTTAAGTACTCCATTTTAGCTATATCGTCCTGGTCTACCTTAGATTTGTTTCCCACCACCACATTTCTCACCTCTTGTTGGACATTTTTCATGGCATTTGGATGCTTTAGGAGTTCAGCCATAATCCATTCAGTTGCTGTTGCACTGGTATCAGTTCCTCCTGCAAACATGTCCAGTAAGATTGCTTTATGTTCTCTTGAGTGAGGTCCTCAAACATGCCATCCTTTTGGAGTTTCATAATGATAGAAACGAAGTCCTTTTCGCGGCTTTCAACAGCTCTATGCTCCTGAATTACCTGATTAAGAATTCCATCCAATTCTGCAAATAAAGCTTTCATACTTGGAATATATCCAGTAAGCACATCAACCCATCTCAAGTAAGGAAACATATCGCCAACACAGAAACCGGTGAAGAGAACCATTAGCCTTTTCACCAGTTCCCCAAACTTGCTGCACCCATCTTCTGCTTCACTTCTGTGACTAAGAATGGATCGAGAAACTATGTTACTCGAGACGAAAACAAGCATCTTTGATAGATTAATAGACTCTCCTTTACCACAAGTAGAACGGATTTTGTTGATGAGAAGTTCGATTTCTTCGTCTCTTACGAACTGAAACGAGTGCACTCTCTGGTGGCTGAAAAGCTCAACAGCACTCATCTTCCTAACCTGTCTCCAGTAATCACCATAGGGTGCAAAACCCATACCCTTGCATTCGTAGAACATGAAATCTACAGCTGTGGTCCTTGGCCTGTTGGAGAAGAAAACGTCATGGTTTTTGCAATTTCTCTAACTGTGTCGACTGATGAAACCATAAAGTTGGATTATACCCCAAGTTTAGAAGCATGAGAGAACCATATTTTTTTGACAGGTCTCGGAGAGAACGATGGGGAAGTTTGCCAAATTGATGGCTGTTGCCGATAATTGGTAGCTTTGGGGGTGATGGAGGCAAACTCATATTTTTGCCTTTTGCTAGTTTAAGCCAAATTAAAAGAGAGAGAAAATGGGAATCAGAGATAGTAACAATGGATTGTTGGAAAGAGTAGATACATTCAGCAGCTCCATTTGCAAAATCTGATGATGAAATTCTTCACTAATTTGCCTTTCTGATAGCCTTGGTCTATATGCTTACATCTCTTACTGTTTTTTTTTTCAGCAGCGTGATGCCTTGTCATATTCAATTATTAAGTTCCTTTTTCGAACAAAAAAAAAACAGTCCTCTGTACTGCAGCTGTAATTTCGACACAATCACCGAAAATATTGAGGGTATAATTAGAGGGTTGGAGCATAAAAGATTAAGGCTTTTGGCATCTTCAACACTGATAATATAATTAATTTATAATTTCAATCACAAAATCAAGATTTATTGCTCCTACTGTTTCCCTTAATTAATCAAATTTTAAAAAAATTATTATTTTTTTGGGTGTTGTATTTAACTAATCCTATGTTTCCCTTAATTAATCAAATTTTAAAAAAATTATTATTTTTTTGGGTGTTGTATTTAACTAATTTTATTTTTCGGCATAAATTGTATGATTTATTCTAGTTTATTTGTTTGATTGGAACTTTTTCCTTTAATTTCTTTTTTAATTATTATGAAGCATAAGAGAATATATGAATCAGGTTTGAAAAACATTAAAAAAGAAGTATTAGCTCAATCACAAAAAAGGAGCAATTGATAAGTTATTTGCTAAAAACCCCACAAATATATCAAAGATTCTATAAAAGAATGTGAAAGAGTTAACTCTTAAATCAATGTATTCTACTCGTTTGGAGAGTCGTGTTGAGAGTGTAAGAGCAATAAAATTACAAATTTCAGATTTTAGAGAAGCTTTGCTTTAAGTTTATGAAAGTGACAATGTTAGAAGCGAAGCTAAGTCTTTAGCCAAAAATGAGTTTGGTGATTTTGAGTTTATAGTTTCTATTGTTATTTGGTATGAGTTATTATATACTGTTAATTTAGTTAGCAAAAAATGCAGTTAAAAGATATGCTTGTTGGTGTTACAATTGGAGATGTGAAGTTGATTCATTTTCCAGTATCGATGATATGTGACATTGGATTCCCCCTCAATGATCTACCTAATGACTACTTGAGGACCAGGAGATCATTTAGTAGCTTTGTGGGAATTGTATCGATGCTTTGTGACACTAGGTTCCCTTAGTTAACTAGTATCTTATGACTATGTGACACCGGATATTAGTCAGTACAACATTCATATAATGCACAACAGAGTCAATTTTGCATTCAGATAATGCAGATGAGTGTCAGTGTCACATTTAGATAATGCGTGGCAGTATAGTCCTTAGGGTTATAGACCCTTAGCGGTGTACTCATGGCGAGACCCTTAGCAGAGTACTCATGGCGAGACCCTTAGCAGAGGATTAAGGGAAGCGTGAGACCCCTACTTCAGTGATAGAACAATTAAACCCTACGTAGGTAGCACTTGATCTAGATTATGCATGTACCTACTGCTTAATGACATGTCTTTAGCATGCTTATGTTTATGGAACTCATAATGCTTCTCCATATTAGCGATTATACTGTTGGATTTTGTAAGCTTAGCTTTCAGATGTTTTTCGTTGGTAGGTCAGTAACTGAGCAGTTTGTGGAGCACTGTCGCAGTAGGACTTCCAGCATTTCCTTCAAAGTACTGTAGTGTAGCTTAGTGGGTATATGTATTCATAGGTACTTACTTATGCATTTAGATTTATGAGACAAAAATTTTTATTATTTTGATTTAAAATGTGTATCATGTAGCTCCACTTTATAAAATATTTTATAGCTATTATTTACATTTTATCATTGATCCATTTAGTATATTTGAAAAGAAAATAAACAGGTTTTAAAAATTAGGGTTGCCTCGCTATCCCAATGTGGTACCTTAGGTCCATTTGAGTTTAGGGTGTTACATATATATATACAAGGCAGTTCATTCCTTTTGATTTGGATGAAGAGTCGTGATCAATAATTTTGTGTGGATGTAGGAGAAGGCAAGCAGTGAATATTCATCAAGTGAGAAATATATTGTGCAACCCAAGTGAGAGAAAAAAAGTCTAATTCATCATCTTTTCATGGTTGCTCATAGTGCTTGTGTTAGACTTAAGGTGATGATGGTTATATGTAGGTTGACAATATGAATAGAACTGACTATTAGATAGCAAAAGTTTTAATATATCATATAGGTCTACCAGTGATCAGTCAGGAGTTGTTAACTACTCGAAAGCCATAGAATCCCAGAGACTTTGAGGAACTCTAGAATATAAGGATTTCCGAAGGATTATACCTTCGTACGAAATGGAGTCTTGGAAGTTTCAATGAATTTCGAAAATTTCAATGCTCAACTGATAGAGGAATGACAACATGATGAAATTCAAGAGGGATCTGAATGAAGCATAACAATTGATTATTTTATTTGTAGGTTTATATGGAATATAGTGAATAACAAAACTATAATTTAGTTTAACCATAGATTGATCATTAAAAATTTCACATATTTGCAGGGATTACTTCCCATTACAAGGATTTATTTGCAGGGATTACTTCCCATTACAGACGCGCATAAGAAGACTGCTTATAAAAATAAAAAAACGATTAACTATATATTTATTTATTTATTTATACATACATTGCATTTTATTTTATTTTTAATTTTTATGATTGCCGGAGGTCTTCCACAAAAGCTGCTCTCAACCAGGCGTTGCGTTGGGGGCAGCCTACTACCTTACCTCCTCTTACCCCATTTCATTGTTGTTGTGTTGTTTTATTTTAAATTTGGTACCTGTGATCATCTAGAAAGATGAATGAGGTATAGCTAAAGCATGAAGATGAGTTTTCTTGCAAACTGTGAGGCCGTAGAGTTCAGTCATGTCCACGTTCTCAAAAATTTCACCCACTGGTAATTTCCAATCAACCCAAAGAATAAGCATCACAACTCGAACGAACGGGGGACATCCCTTCTTCCAAAACCGAATGGGATGTAGTGGAAATCTTGACCTTGAAAATCAATTGAGCTATTCTCAAACCTCTCTGGGATGAACTCTTCTGGGTTTTCCCACCATTTGGGATCTCTATGAATGGCCCAAGCATTGATCAAGACCGTGGTATCCGAAGGAACGTCGAAACCTTCCAGTTTAATACTTGCTGATGTTTTTCTAGGAACAAAAACAACAGGAGGATGTAGTCTCAAAGTTTCTTTGACTACACACTTTAAGTACTCCATTTTAGTTATATCGTCCTGGTCTACCTTAGATTTGTTTCCCACCACATTTCTCACCTCTTGTTGGACCTTTTCCATGGCATTTGGATGCTTTAGGAGTTCAGCCATAATCCATTCAGTTGCTGTTGCACTGGTATCAGTTCCTCCTACAAACATGTCCAGTAAGATTGCTTTTATGTTCTCTTGAGTGAGGTCCTCAAACATGCCATCCTTTTGGTGTTTCATAATGATAGAAACGAAGTTCTTTTCGCGGCTTTCAACAGCTCTATGCTCCTGAATTACCTGAATAAGAAATCCATCCAATTCTGCAGATAAAGCTTTCATACTTGGAATATATCCAGTAAGCACATCAACCCATCTCAAGTAAGGAACATATCGCCAACACAGAAACCGGTGAAGAGAACCATTAGCCTTTTCACCAGTTCCCCAAACTTGCTGCACCCATCTTCTGCTTCACTTCTGTGACTAAGAATGGATCGAGAAACTATGTTACTCGAGACGAAAACAAGCATCTTTGATAGATTAATAGACTCTCCTTTACCACAAGTAGAACGGATTTTGTTGATGAGAAGTTCGATTTCTTCTTCTCTTACGAACTGAAACAAGTGCACTCTCTGGTGGCTGAAAAGCTCAACAGCACTCATCTTCCTAACCTGTGGTCCTTGGCCTGTTGGAGAAGAAAACGTCATGGTTTTTGACAATTTCTCTAACTGTGTCGACTGATGAAACCACTAAAGTTGGATTATACCCCAAGTTTAGAAGCATGAGAGAACCATAATTTTTTGACAGGTCTCGGAGAGAACGATGGGGAAGTTTGCCAAATTGATGGCTGTTGCCGATAATTGGTAGCTTTGGGGGTGATGGAGGCAAACTCATATTTTTGCCTTTTGCTAGTTTAAGCCAAATTAAAAGAGAGAAAATGGGAATCAGAGATAGTAACAATGGATTGCTGGAAAGATTAGATACATTCAGCAGCTCCATTTGCAAAATCTGATGATGAAACTCTTCACTAAGTTGCCTTTCATATAGCCTTGGTCTATATGCTTACATCTCTTACTGTTTTTTTTTTCAGCAGCGTGACGCCTTGGCATATTCAATTATTATGTTTCTTTTTTCAACAAAAAAACACAGTCATCCGTACTGCAAGTCAGCTCAATTATTTGGCAACCCCTCAAACAGCAGAAATTATTATACTTATCACGTTATTTGCTGTTCGACTAATAAGATACATCTATTTTAAAGTATTTTTTAAATAATTATATATTATTACATCATCACATTATATAATAATTAATAGGATAAATTACGCTAATCATCACTGAATTTTAGCATCTTTCCTATTTTACTCATTGTACTTTAAATTCGTTCAATTTCCTCACTAAATTTAACATAATTAGCATTTTTGGTCACTCAGTCATTTTCTCACTGAACGACGTTATAAATGAACTGTTATACAGATGCAAAATAACATCGTTTTGGTGAAAATTTTATTTTTCTAAAACGGGGTCATTTTAACGACGTTAAATATTTAAAGACTGGGTGATAAAAAATGTTAATTGTATTAAATTCAGTGAGGAAATTGAACATATTTAAAGTACAATGAGTGAAATAGGAGAGAGAGTAAAGTTCTATAATGATTGGTGTAATTTACCCTAATTAATATTATATAAAAATTAAAATAAATAAAATTAATTTCAACAACAATTTAACATGAAATATTATTTTTTTGTCAACAACAAATATTTCTTTCTTAGCATAATGGTTTGACGTTGCACTCTTTCCCTAAAAGTCATAGGTTCGACATTTTTCTCTAGAACTCTTACTTCATTTAGTTCTCAATTTCTTCTCCCCAAATTAACTCTTAAACTTCTTCAAATCTTCATTAATGTTAACTTTCTTTTTTATTTAATCTTACTAATTGAACCCACAAAGATGCCAACCAAATTTATCTTCTCCTTTTCCCTTTCTCTTCTCTCAAGTGGCGGCTGTAATTTTGACACAATCACCAGAAATATTGAGGGTATAATTAGAGGCTTGGAGCAGAAAAGATTGAGGCTTTTGTCATCTCCAACACTGACAATATAATCAATTTATAATTTTAATAAAAAAATCAGGATTTATTGCTCCTACTCTTTCCCTTAATTAATCAAATTAAAAAATTATTATTTTTTTCAAGTGTTGTATTTAACTAATTTTATTGGTTTGGGCATAAATTGTATGATTTATTCTAGTTTCTATTTTTTTGTTTGATTGGAGCTTTTTTCCTTTAATTTCTTTTTTTTAATTATTACGAAGCATAGGAGAATATATGAATCAGTTGTGAAAAGCGTAAAAAAGAAGAAGAAGAAGTATTAGCTCAATCAGAAAAAGGAGCAATTGATAAGTTCTTTGCTAAAAAATCAGATTTATCTACTGATAATCAAACGTTGTTGATGTTGGTGGTTCTAATTCTAATGATGTCATCAAAATTAGGCTATGAAAGAGTTAACTCTTAAATTGATGTCTTCTATTTGTTGGGAGAGTCGTGTTGAGAGTGTAAGAGCAACAAAATTACAAATTTCAAATTTTAGAGAAGTTTTGCTTGAAGTTTCAGAAAGTGACAATGACGATTCTATTAGAAGCGAAGCTAAGTATTTAGCCAATAATGAGCTTGGTGATTTTGAGTTTATAGTTTCTATTGTTATTTGGTATGAGTTGTTATATACTGTTAATTTAGTTAGCAAAAAATGCAGTTAAAAGATATGCTTGTTGGTGTTGCAATTGGTGATGTGAAGAAGTTGATTTATTTTTCTAAAATGTATAAAGAAAATGGTTTTCCTAACGCTCTTGAAGTTACTGAGATAATTGCAAATGATATGGATGTTGACCCAGTTTTTCCTCAAAAGCTTTTAATAAAAAGAAAAAGGCAATTAGATTAGAATTTAGACGATGAGATTGTACAAACTATAAAGGAGTCTTTTAGGATTATTTTTTAGTTGCATCATTAATCAAGAAATTGTCTCACTTGATAGGAAGTTTGAAAAATATGAGCGATATGAAAATTTGTTTGGTTTTCTATTTTCTTCTAATAAATTGCTCTCATTAGATGACTCGAGTTTAAAATCTTGTTGTAGTCGTCTGGAAGAAGCACTTAAGAATGGTAATAAATATGATATTCATAGGTGTGACTTATATGTGGAGTTGAAGTTGCTCCAACAATTTTTACCCAAAGAAAAATTGGGAGCACTTGAAATCTTAAAGATCATAAAACGTATTGACTGTTTTCCCTGTGCTCTTATTGCTTACAGGATATTTTTGACCATCCTGGTGACAGTTGCAAGCGCCAAAAGAAGTTTTTCAAAGTTGAAGTTTCTCAAGTCTTACTTGTGTAATTCTATATCTCATGATATGCTTAATGGACTAGCTATGGTGGCAATCGAGAATGAGGTGCTAGATAAAATCGCTTGTGAAAATTTGATCGATGAATTTACTTCAAGGAATGCTTTAAGGACGAGATTGTTCAAGTTACTAATATGTAATTTTTAATTTTGGTGAACTTATTATTATGTAAAATTTATATGATTTTTTTGATCGTTTAGTTTTATAATTAATTGCTTACACCTCCATTGCTTAAGGGCCCCTTTTTTAATTTTCGCTCAGGGCCCCGATAATGACCAAGATGGCCCTGTCAGGGTTTCTCTTGCCTATGTAGTACACAATTTGAATTAGTCAATTAATAAATCAGATATTGGTGCTTATAGAAAAATATAAACATGTGAAGATGTCGCATCATCTATTATTAACGAATAACTAACTGATGACAATGATTATCACTAATAAGGAAATATTAGTGTCTAAATTTTCATCACTGTTACTAATCTTTTTGTGTCAGAAAATGTAGTAAAAAATACAAGTAATTGTGACAAAATTCATTAAAGTAGTCACTAATATAATTGTGAAAGAGTTATTGATAATAGTGTTGAACATTTGGTCACTAAAAAACACCTAGTGTGACAACATTGGTGGTCACAAAATATACTTTAAGTATCAAAGAAATTTATCACAATTTCTATTGATAATAGTATTGAACATTTGGTCATTAAAAATTACTTGGTGTGACAATATTGATTGTCACAAAATATAATTTTAGTGTCAAATAAATTCATCACAATTTATATTGATAATTGTGTTGAATAGATGACCACAAAAAATAATAATTGTGACAAATTTTAACATAATTGTCATTGATATACTAGTGGTGGAGTTATTAGTGACGATTTAAAAAATTTATCATTGTACATTTTAGTGTCTATGTTTAATGCTTTTAGTGATCATTTGCATTGTCACTAAAGGTGCATGTTCTTGTAGTGAGATGTGATGATTCATCTTGAAAAAACATGAGATGGATGGATTTTATTTGTTAAGATCACAAATGACGTGGTGAATCGAGTTTATCTAATAATTTTTCAACTGCACTATATCACACAACATGTAATATTTATTTATTTTATATTTATGTTTAGATTTCTTTTTATAAAATGTATTTAACGGTAAACATCAATTTCGATCGATCATCGAAATATCATCTTTCCTTCGTGATATACATCTGTTACAGTCAACAAGGCCCAAGCCTATAACTAATTCTTATCTCCAATTAACCGAAATTTGCAAGTCTATCCCCGAAATTTGGTCCTTATAGGTCTAGCCACGTGTATCTCCGTTAGATCCAAAGTAGCTTTAAGTTTTGGAAAAGCCCGACTCGAGTTTGTTCATAGGTAGCCAACTTACGATCAACTGATCCGACTTCCAAACATCAAGCAATACAGTCTAGAAATCAACTTTCACCTTTTGAGTTAAAGATGTAATAACTTTTAAGGGAATTACCGATTGCCACTCCAATTTCAGAGAATCGAAGAATACAATATGAAAGTATGAAGATCAAGACTTAATTCTTATGATTAGAATTGAGCTTTACAAAAACCTTTGGCTAAGTGTAAGTTTAGCTAAGCATGAATTAAATCATGTTTAGCATTATGGAAAGAAAAAAATAAAATAAAATAATAAAAGAAAAGTGGAGATGAAAGAAAAGCAAAACTTCAATAATGAACCAAGGATAAATAAATTCCAATATGTATTTCAACTATTGAATCTATGGGGTATTTATAACTCGGGAGTTCTAAGCAAATAAAATAAATAATTCTTAAATAAAATAACCAAACTAAAAATCTTACTAGAAGTTATAAACAAAAAAATAACTAACACCTAAATAAAATAATAATAAAATAATCAAACTAAAAATCCTAAATCTACAAGGTTTATCACAAAATATAAAAATAAATATCTAAGTCTTGTAGTCTTGGTTGAATTCTGCTTCATCTTCTGGATAACCTTGTCCTAGGTAAATTCAAATTAAATGTTCAAGATAAATCCTCTCGTCTTCTAAAAGATGATGATTGGACCGTCAAAATCTGCTAGTTTTTGGGCTAATTAATCCCACGAAGGTCTTGTCCAAAAATAAACCCAAAATATAGATAAATTAGTATTATCCAATCAAAAATAAGGAGTGAATAACAAAAAATATATGTAATATTAAACACTTATAAAATCCCCCCTTACTTATTCAATGCTTGTCTTCAAGGATATTTTACTTCAACATACTCGCTTTTCCATTTACCTTCCATCATCTCGTTTCTCATCTCATAATACCAACAAAGTTAAGTCCACATCAAATATTCGAACCAAAATAACAATCAAGTAAAAGAGCATGAATATAATAAATTTATGGTAAAATCAAAACATCTCATTAATCCATTAATTTCAAAGGTGACAAGACTTAACACCCTTGCATGGATTTACTCAATACTCTAAAGTGTTTATGGTGTAATCAACTCTTAAAGTCAGAACATAACATAATATTACGATAGGCTTGCAAGTGAATCAAATCTCCACCATTGTATATGATTATGATGCTAAAACCGAAGGGTCTTTCAAGGGTTGTAAAGGAGCTTAGGTAAGGGTGTAAAAGGAA